TTTTATTGTCTCTTTTGAATGGTGTGTAAATGTGGTTTATCTCTATGTGTCTATTGATGGCTGAATAATACTTATGCTGTATAATATTTATACAGTATAGTTTGCTCTATGATTCACCAGGAAAAAACTGGCTAATTTTCACCAAAGATCACCATAAAATAGTTTAAAACAAACTAAAGCTGATGGTGTCTGACAAAACGGGAATGTTGGCAGGGAGTCCTGGTGCTAGTAGAAACTGCTAGTGTGGAAAGGCCCTAGTCCTCATGAAGTATTTCATTTAGAGCCTACTACTACTATCACGTCATCATCAAGTTGCTTTCCTGCATTCTGCTTGTTTACATTCTTTTATTAATCTGAATATTTGGCTTTTCTCTCTGCTGCTCTTAAAACAGCCTCCTACCCACCCATCACACTGCAGCTACAGTAATGTCTGAGCTCAGGAGGAAACGTAAGATAAAAATGTGACCAAAAAAAAATAAATTAAAGTCTACCAACAATTTGCATGCCTGACAATATTTTAGAGGCTTTCCTTCTGGGATAATGCTGGCCAGATGTTTAGGGCAGCAAAGAAAGCTGGTAAGAAGGGGGGAAAAGCAGCCATCAATTGTGGATGATGTAGGGTGGTCTGCAGTCAAAAAAGTCAAGATGGCAGTGATTGAAGCTCCATCGATAATGCTGGCCAGATGTTTAGGGCAGCAAAGAAAGCTGGTAAGAAGGGGGGAAAAGCAGCCATCAATTGTGGATGATGTAGGGTGGTCTGCAGTCAAAAAAGTCAAGATGGCAGTGATTGAAGCTCCATCGATAATGCTGGCCAGATGTTTAGGGCAGCAAAGAAAGCTGGTAAGAAGGGGGGAAAAGCAGCCATCAATTGTGGATGATGTAGGGTGGTCTGCAGTCAAAAAAGTCAAGATGGCAGTGATTGAAGCTCCATCTGTCCTTACCTCATACTGTCACAGCTGCCATCCTGACATTTTTTTAACCATTCTCTGCAGACACCCCTGGGACAGTGGATATAAATATATGGATGTTTGCTTTTTCTGTAGGCCTCACTACTTCAAAAGACTTGAGGGTGAACCCCATGTTTTCTCCACCTGCAACCTGTGATCCTTTGAATGTCCTTTCCTTTGGACTTCCCTAAGGCCAGATCCACACATATCCCCTCTGAATCCTAGGAAAGGAAAAAAACTGAACAATTAGAATACGTACTCCCAGAACTCGATAACTGGAGAGGTGGCATTAGTATTATTCCCAGGATCGGAGACATTCAGAAAGTCCACACAGTATTCTGCCAAAAGAGAGAGAGATGTAAGAGTGGGAAGAGATCCTGAAGGTCATCTGGCCTAACTCCATAACCAGTGCAGATCCACAGATTGTTTACACCATCTGTTCAGGATCCAAACTTTGCTGAAATACTTTTAGCAAAATAAATGTTTCTGCTCCAAGAAAAATGAACTGCGAGAGAGCCTGAGGCTTTGTTAAACTATCCATCCTTCTTTTTATTGGATTCCTCCCTGTCTGGGACTCCCGAATGACATGGCAGTTCCTCACACATGTATGAAATCCAGATGCCTATGGAATGCAGATTGTTATCAAGTCATGCTGACTGTTGTAATTTAGGATTGCAGACCCAAACCGTCTTCCTCCTCCCATTTGCCTCTCTGGGTGCATTCAGTCCCCCACATCCCCTTCCATGTATACAGCTGCCCCAGAGAGCTATTTGTAAAATGCCTAGAGGCAGAGTGAGCCACCAAGGCATCTAGGAGTGTTAGATAAACAGAGGATGACAAGTTATTATGGGAAAAGTATAACATAATGTAGAGAAGAAAAAGCAGGAGAAGGTCATGAAGATGTGGCATATTCTGGCTTTAATTGTGTACCTTGCCTTTAAGGGGCTTGGAAGTGTAAACCAATAGGGAGGACTGAGTAGCTAAAAGGAGAAGGTTTAGTTTGGGTGTCAACATGCTATGTTGCAAAGGAGTTGCTTCTAATAAACATGTTGTAGGAATCAATTTAGCCAGGCAGATACACGTAGTTACAGTAGCAGATGTTCCTATTTTTGAGAACGAATAATACTGGTTTTATTCCCTTGGAGAGAAAATTATGTGCCACATAAATGTTACAGCTGTAGGAATATCAAAAGAGATGGAATTGACATTGGATCAGCAATTTCTATATTGCCAGTCAGCCTGTGTTCAAAATGTTGACAGTGTGCCACCTATCAGTCCCAAATGACTTGAAAAACCAAAACTTAGGGATGTTGACCTGTAAAAATAACCTTTGTTCAGCAGCAGTTTATATTGTCATGGATAGGAGAGATTTGCTGCATGAAACCTGGGGAAATTGGATGGACAGTTTACACCATTACATCCTGAGACACTTCCAAGTCCTTGTTCAGAGAACATTGTTATTGACATTGGAGGCCCCTTTGATGGGATCCCACTGGGTTGCCATTGTGCTATCATGTTGACTGACTATTATGATAAATGGCCAGAAGTGACTTTGGCATCACAAGCTACCTCAGCAACAGTTACTGAATCTTGTTCTGTTGTCTTTAGTAGGGAAGGAGATTCTAAAGAGTTGGTCTCTAATAATGGGACTCAATTTACTTACAAAAATGTTTAGCAGAGCATAAAATTACACAGAAGAGGACATCAGTGTATTATCCTCAAGCAAATGGGAGAGTAAGAGTTTGAGAGATTGAACAGAATCCTGAAAGATACCTTTCTTATAGCAAAGTTAGAAGGAAAAAGGTAGAATCCCTTGATTATGGAATATTGGCAATTAAATGCCATTCAGTAACACAGAGAAGTACTGCATGGAAGCAGAGGCATCAAAAAAGGCAAGATCGTGGAAACATCATGATGTCAGCCCTTCCTTTGCATCATCATCATCATCATCATACACACACACACACACACAAATGTTAGTACAGGGAAGAAAGATATATATTAAGATGAATGTGGCTGGATCAGAAGATCAAGACCAGATGTTAAGAATGGAGAAAAGAATGGAAAAGACATGAGAGAAATGTTAAAAATATACAGGCCAGAGTGGTGGGGCTAAGAGTTAGATATAGAAATGTGTTTAATGTGTAAGAGAATAAAAAACAAGGATTAGGGCTAAAGGAGATAGTAGATTCACATCCCTTTGCCAATTATTTTTAAAAAGAAATGGGCTTCATATTTATAAATGGTTGGATGGGAGGGGGTAGAATGCTTCCCACCTTGTTCTGAGATAGGGATGTCCATCGGTAAACAAGGGGTGGGCCTCCAATTGCATGATTGTGGCTGCCATCTTGACTTTTGACACAAATCCCCTGTCTGGGCACCCCTGCTCTGATAATTACGGAAGAGGGAAATAGGGCACAGGCAGCCTTCAACAGTGCAGTATTAGCCCCAGGTTGACAAGCCAAATCAGAAAAGCTGCACAGGAGGTGAGGTTGAACAAAATCAATTAGAAGCTGAAGCTGAAAGTCAGCCAATCCAAACAAGATGTCTGCCAGTTTGGACAAAAGATTATGTTATGTAAAAGCTGGGTAATGCAATGTTATGAGGGAGAGAAATGTACCCTCTGCCTTTAAAGAACTTGGAAAGTAAGCCAGTAGGAAGGAGAGAGTAGCCAAAAAGGAGGTTTGGATGTTGATGTACTATGCTGTGAAGAAGCTGCATCTGATGAACATTGTGTGTGGTTTTTACTGCCTAGAGAATACAATAGAAGCATGGAGGAGTACATAATCTTGTATACCATCCCCAAAATGTCTTTGTAGATACTGTGAATATTAGGACTCAGCCTTACCTTCAGTGGTGCCCTCAAGGTAGGACTTAGAAGCTTTGGATTCCCTTTGGTAACACTGGCTCAAGGGTTCCCAAAGCCTGGGTAGTTACATTTCAAAGAAAGTGAAGGAGTCCCCATTATTACAAACTCTGGGAAGGCAACCCCACTGTTACGACACTAAATCTGGGGTCTAAAATTACCTAACTGCACTGCTGCCTCCTAGAGATGTGTAAAGAAAAGGCTGCCTACTGAACAGGAACAGAAGGTGGTGTCTTCAGTGGATCAAAAACATAAACATCTGGTTGTAGAAAGGTATAGAAGAAAGAGGGAATGGCCTTGAGAGACAGGAGAAAAATTTGCTACCAAAGCAATGGTCAGATAAAAGGGGCTTGAGTCTGGGGCAAGAATGTAATGTGAGTAAATGTATCAGACAAGACCCTCCCTAGTTCACACAAAGATAAAGGGATGGAGTGGGGGAAGTGCATTCAGTCTTGCAAGATTCTGTTACTATAGTTTTACAATAAAAGTATTACAGACTTGCATGGCATTGATTTCCTAGTCTGATCTACCTTGAAGGTCTGACAGAAGGAGAAATGGAGAATGGCACTCACACACTTCATTCCCCGTCCCCAGAGAAAGGAAGTAAAGTGAATATGCAAAACAGAATGTGAAAAATGTTCAGAGGTCAACCTGAATCTTCTCAGAGTCACTTTGCTTTTCCAGGGCCTATCAATTTCCACAAAATGAAACAAATAGAAGTCTGCCTAAATAAAGTCATAGCCTCACCGGATAGCTACTGAAATGTAAGAGGTGGGCAAGGAGGCTCTACTGCATTTGATTATCCTGGGGCAGGTTGTGCTTATGCTCTCATTCCTGAGGCAAGAGGGTTGGGATGAACTATCTAAAAGTTGTCGGCATCCCAAGGAATCACAAAAATTGTAGAGAAGAGCCTGAGTTCATTGGTGGGAAGAGGGTTTTCAACCACCTCCACTGACCTGCTGCCTTCCAGATATGTTGGTCTCAGAATGTCAAAATGATGGAAGCACAATCATACCATTGTGACACAACTTCATCCCTTTCATATGGGTGTGTCACGATGCACATACAAAAGAAGCAGAGTCTACATGGTGTTGACATGACGATACTTTCATCATCGGCTCCCCCTTGAGCCCCCAACCCACCCATAGATAGTTCTGGTTGGACTACAGTATTTTAATGGGATGAAATTTTTACTGCAGTTCATTGGAGGTGTGGAAAGTCGGGGAAGACTGGTCTACAATTTGTCTGGGGGTGTAGTCTCTATGCTTCCTATCCCAACAAAGCAAACACAAACCTGGAAGTTGCAAACAGCTTATAAAATAGCTACAATTTTAAATAGTCTTCTTACATAAGGATTTTGTTTTCTAAGTGAATGAATACCAGGGTTGTCCAATTTCAGGAAGTTCACACCTCACATATGTAACATATTTACTGAGTCTGAGAAAGAAAACATAACATGCCATTCACTTAAAGGCACTAATAAGCATCATAAGTGCATCCTGTCTTGTTACTTAAAGCCAGTAGATGTACTATTGTTGTTCTTGTTTATTTGCTGCAATGAGTTGCAGGCATGGATATTCATGCACCTACCTGAATTCCAGTCATTATTGCAATTGGCCCAGGGTAATACAGCTGAGAAGGAGTTAAAGAGGTAAAACAGGGCCCAAGCCAGAATGACAATGTAATAAATATTCAGATAAGATTCAATCACTTGTGAAGCATATCCAATTCCTGAATAAAAGAGAAAAGACAGGTAAAAATTAAATCTGGAAATGGGAAATGTGCAACTAGGCTTGATTTGACTAACCTTGATTAGAGCTTAGACAGAGTCTTGGTCATTCTTAATAATAGGAGTGTACATAAGCTGTGTTTACATAAAACACCAATCATGGGTAACTGAACTCTGGTTTGCTCAATTACCACTTTTTTGGGTACACATGTCATGCTGAACCACCATCTAAGCAATATTAGCTAGATTTGTATAATATGCTAGCTAAAATCAATAGCCCTTGGACCACATCCAAGGGACAATAAGATTCTTCCAACTTCCCATGCGAAGTCAGAGATAGGAGAAGAGGGGGGAGGAGGAAGAGGAGAAATCCAACATTGTTTTTGACAACCTCTTTGTTATGAATCTTTGGAGGCAAAAAGCAGCACAGAAAGAGCAATTTTTATTTTAAAAATGGTGCAGTGGCCTTGATCTACGTCCCAAATGAAATTGCTAGACTGAGCACACTTGATGAAATATGTATTTATCATCACATGCAATTTGGCCTTTAGATTGGACACACTTCATAGGCAAAACATAGTTCTTGTTTGGAATATGTACAAGAGAAAGCTTGTGAGATGAGCTGACTCTTCTTTGCTGATGTTTCTGGATGCTAACAATATATATGAGACAAAATGGAAAACAGATTGGGTCTATGCAACGTTAATTATGAGGCGAGAGCTGTACTTTCTCACTGTTTCATTGTACCGTCAACCTCCCCACCTTTACTCTAGGGCTGCAGTTTAGAGTGCAGGGAGTTAGTGACCTTGCGTTCTTATTGTTTGCCCCACCCTAATTTCTAAGCTGTCTTAAAAAGAAAAGTTTCTTCCTACTTGTCTTGGTTCTTCCTTTATCACCACTCCAAATGGTTTAAAAAAAAAAAAACTACAATGATGCAGCAATGTTTCCATCAGAACATCTTTCAATGACCGTAGTCAGAAATAGCACTTTCACTTTGGCAGTATAAGTTTGGGGGGGATAACTGTCACAATTTGTGCTTTGTTTGGCCAAAATGCTGCATATAAGTAACTGATTAAAACAAAACAAAACAAAGTCAATGTGCATTTGAAAAAATCTTTTCAGATTTTCCTTATAGATAAAGTTATTTGCAGAGCAAGGCATATACCCGAATGCACAGTTTATATCAACTCATTCTGTTTGCCAACATCCTTACACACAATTGCTCTCATTAGACAAGTTCTAATTGATAAGATTATCTGCTCTTCTATTTCTGCCAACCCCTCTCCTTTTGCTGCATGAGATAGACCCAATGTGCACCCTTCCATTCAATTTCCAGAAGCAAATTAGGATTGGCCTTTTAATCGTATTTAACAGTAGTTGTTACATCTGGAGGACAGCAGAGAACTTAAGGACTTAATGGCTGAGTAGCATAAATAGGAGAATGGAGGAGGAACAGCTGGAACTAGTTCTACCTGGTCCATTACTGCAAGAAGAGTAAGCTGGGGAAGAGGAGCCCAGTACTCAGTCTAGGGCCACAGCAGTACAAAGCAGGCTGTATGGCATGTGGCATACCATCAATTACTACAGCATCACCCAAAATGGATGGAAATCTCACTGGCAGTAACTGTGGAATTCTATCTCTGTTCCACCTCACTGTACATAAGGGAAGAACCAGGCCTGTCCCTAACACAGCCCTTGATCTCCAAACCCCTACTTATAACATGATTCACAATGTCCTCCTGTATGAGATGAGCTAACCTCTTCTTTGTCACCTGTGAATAAGAAATAAAGCTGGCTTTTGCCTTTATTAAACAGCTGCTATTGACCAAAGCCTGTTCCACCCCATGCAGCAGAAATTAGACTAATGGGGATTGTGACCTCTCCCCCCTGATTTTATTCCTGCAACAATCACCCTATGAAGTACTAGGGCTGAGGGAGAGTGACTGGTTCCAAGCCATCCAGGATACTCCATATTGGAGGTGGATTTTAATCCTTCAGCCCTATTCAGGGAATGTCATCTGTATCAGCTGTTCCCAAGCTATATTCTCTAGTACATTCAATTTTATTCCCCTTTTGCTCAGACCATTTACCAAGCTGCTTCAGTGGTGGAAATGGTGGTCCGATACATCTGCGAAGCACCAGGCATGAAACCTAGGTACATGACAGATGATTAAAATTGACATTTCTCATCTGCAGCCTGAAATTATGCAGATTGGCTGTGTTTGAACAACCCAGTAACGCAATTGACTGGGGTTGACTGACACATTGATTTGGTATAGTAAACTAACCATATACCCTGGGATTGTGCAACCCACTATGCTAAAATGTGTTAAGCTAGTCCATGGTTTGAATGGAGCCAAGAGTCTTCTCTGCTGGGCAGGAGGGGCAGGCTCTGAAGGAAAAGAATTCAGTGGATAATTACCATAAATAAAATCTAACTCTGCAACAGAGGATTAACCTCTGCCCAAAAGGTTTTCAACATCCAGCTGCTCTCTGCAAAATATGCCTTCACAAATGTATCCAAGGCCATACAATTTTTTTGCTGCCACTTTCATCTAAATCCCGTCTCTGGACACATTTATAAGTAACCACTGACATAGCTTTTTGTTTTGATCCCAGGCTTCTTTTCCAAGTATCTGCCCTTTGCTTTGTCCGGCATCCTGGATGGGTTCCAGCTCCATTGCATGCCTTGTCCCAGTTCCCCCACTCTGGTCATTTCTTTAGCTCTATCCTTTGGTTACTTATGCAACACTAATTCTACCTTCAATAGAGAATCTCAGGATGACTCACACTTTTATCTTTGAGGGTAGGATGAAACAGGTGCACTGTCAGCATTTGGCCCTCAGCCATGCCCTGTGGCTGGGAAGCTCAGAGGGAATTAGATCAAAAAGTACACCAAGTACTTGATGGAAAGTTACCAGGATTTTTGATGTACAACCAATGTACCTTCAAAGATAGGGCAGATCTTTCTCCAGGCAGTAATCCCTCCTTGACTAGTGTATTGCCCCAAAGCTGTCTCCAAGAGGAAGACTGGAATTCCACAGGTAAAGAGAAAGATGGAATATGGAATTAAGAAGGCACCTGTTGGCAAAGGAAAGAGAAGAATTGTTGGTAGAGCAAATTTGATTGTTAAATCAGCTTTCGAGACGAAAAGAAAGAACATCTCGCATTAGGGTTATTATGAACATTTTGCATTAAGGTTTTGCAGAACTTTGAATTTCTTTCCCAAAAGGTATTTAAGAGCATGTGGACCACAAATGGAACACTGGTTTGCAGCTTTTTGAAACATCCCTGCTTTTTCCCAGAATTATGCAACTGGGAAATCTGCTGCAAGATTCTTCCAAAACCATTTTTTGGGGAATTGCATCTGAAGCACTGCAACCCTCATGTGACACAAACACTTGTATCAGACCAAGGGTAGGCTACCCAAGGCATTCTAGATATTACTGAACTGCAATACTGATCTTCCTTCAAAGGTGGTCATGCTTCCTACGGGAACTGGTAGTTACTGTTGATCAGCTTCTGGAGGATCACATGCTGTTTATCACAAAATCAGATCCTAATTAAAACCACTTGAGAAAGGAGGCAATGGTGAGAATATAGAAACAGTAAGAAGAATCAGTGGCCAGGGATTATGCAGATTTCAATCCAACCAGTTGAGGAAGGCTGTGTTGTAGAATCAAGAAGTCATTAAATTGTTACACTGTGGGGCTACCATATCTGGCCTGCAAAATACTAGAGCTTTTTGTATCTCTTTGCTGCTGTTCAGTAGCCATCTGGATTTTAGCAGCTCAGAAATGGTGGTCCTAATATTAAGAGTTCTCCAGAGAGAGAAGACTCCAAGGCTGCAAGCATTTTGGCCAAAGTATGATTCCCTGGGATCCAAGCCACATGAGGTTTACAATGTCTTCGTGATGCATGGTTTATTTAGACAGAATCCACAAGCTGAACATAAGTGGGAGTCAGCCTCATTAACATCCTGGCAGATTCTTTCAGCTGATTGCAGATTGCTGGTCTCATTCATGGGGCCCTCTTGTTCTCCGTTAATATTGAAGGGTAAACTTCTCACCGGTTCAGGCTAAAGAAAGTGTTTTGTATTCTAGCCTACCTCACATACAGGGCATTCGGACACATCTCCAAAGAACATCACTGAACTGGAAATGGTGCAGAAAAGGTCACCCCAAAGTGGGTAAAACTACTTCCTTCTGATAAAAGACTAGATTAGGACTTTTTTAATTTCAAGGTGATAGTGAAGGGACATAATATAAACACACAGTGCCATGTAGGGTATGTAGAAAGCAAATGAACTCAATGGATCTTTGGACCTGAGGATGCTGAAGCAACCCTTTTGTCTAAGCCAAATGTGCTCTTTTCATTTATTATCTTATCAGTGCAACCTTCATGCAAATAGCTTCCCAAGGCTATAAAAGTTGATTGAAAGTAGGATCATATAAACCAAAGATGGCTCATCAGCAATGGCTTTTTAGTAGTCCATTAGTTAACTCAAGAACTTCCCATACTGCTCCCTTATTAGAATATCAAAAATTGGAGTGGGCACCATTAAAGTGGTGGTTTTTTTAAAAAAAAATCCCAATTATTTCACAACTTTTGCCTGCAGTTTTGGTCACAGCAGAGAATTGCTGATCAAAAACAGGAAGTTTATGTTTCATAATTCTAATCTCTCCATAGACTTTTATTTAAAAATCCATGTAGATTAGATATAAAGATAAAAATGGGCCTTCTTTCACACTGTAAGTCAGTACTTTTCACAGTTCTTAAACCACTCGCTTGATATGGAAAATCTGGAAAACAACAGATTGAAGCTCTGATTACGTGTCAGGGTTACATGAATATCAGATCCTAGTTAGCAAGCAAGGTGGTAATCAGAAACTAAATTACAGTTTTCTATTCTGGATACAGTGGAAACTCTAAGAATTTGTGGACATGCTGAATTAATAAACAAGAGAGATGGAGGGAATATGCAGCCCCACAATAGTTCTTGATTTACTAAATCATCTGAGACTCAAAGATCTGGGCCTTTAAGTGAACAGAAACTTGAAATCTTCAGACCTTTCCAAAGTTTTGGAGAATTTAGGAAACTTGGAGTTTTGGAATGCAAGAAGTTTTCTTTGTTGTATCCCCTTAGACCTTGAATTCTGCAAGCTATCTATCCTAATTTGATCAAATGAATTGTCTCAATGGTCAACCCATAAGATTATGAACTCCACCACATTTTTTTAAAAGGAAAAGGAAACACATGCTTTGTTCTCCACACTGACCCCATGTTTTTTGGATACAGAGCTGTCTGTGAAAGACACGTTCTGTTTCCTAGGAAAACCTGATTTTGCTTTCTATGGCTGTTTGTCCAGTGCCAGCAACAATAACTCTGAGTGAGATGCATTCCCCCGATGGATAATTAACTACAAGGCCTCAGCAAGGAGCATTTCCCCCTGGTCTGAGTGCTAGTTGTGTTAAAAACATTAGACCTCTGACATCCTCAGCTATTTTCTCAGCACCAATTTAAATCCAGATAATTGGAACCTGAGGCCAAAATAAAGTATCTTATTTTGCATATGCACTGAACCCAACGAGATACATGGAATAATACATCATCTGCTTATATGTTATAAAGGGGTGGATCATTCCAAAACAACAGTTTCACACAGCAAATGTGCAATATTTAGTTACTTGTTTGTTACCAGAAATTTGTCAAGAGCTTCTGCTGAAGGATATCATCTTCCCAGTTTCCCAAGCACAATATTTTGTTCCTGGGGAAATGTGATTCCCTGTTCCATCAGTTAGTCAACAGTCTACACTGGGAATGCAGGTGGAATGTAGCTATAGAAATGTGAGGGATACCTATTAAACAAGATCCGTTGTACTATTAAAGATCCTGATGACTCTACCTCTCCCTGTGGGCTTTCCCATGAATATCTATATTTTAAATTAATTCTTTGGAGACAGTATGCTTATTTATCATATTCATTCACATGGGCATCTGCAGTGAGGCTAGGGGACCAAAAGATGAAGCAAGTGTCACAACATTGCAATGCTAGTTCCACCTCTTTTCTATATCCACTGTGACATGAGATTCATATATATAAGGGGTGGTGCTTGTATTGTGACAATGTGGCACAAAAGTCACAAGGACTATTTATGTTTGTTAGACTTCTATATCCTATCGTTCCTCCAGGAGATCAAGGGACCATACCTGGCACTTCCCTCTCCAATTTTTCCCACAACAATCCCGTGAGGTGGATTGGACTGGGAGAGATGGACTGGCCCAAAGTTATGGCTTTAGTTCATGGCTAAGGCTAGATTACATCTCCCCACATCTTCCCATTTCCTTAAATGCTACACAGTATTGCCCATATAGACCCCTGCCAAGTACAGTAGATATGTAAAAACTCAGACAACAGCTGTTACTAATGGTCATAAATATAAATAGGAGCATTTATGGCCATTAGATAGTAATGGTCATTGCCCATTGTCGATTGCATGTCTGTTCTACTTCTTCCCTAGACCAAGGATTTTGGCGCAATTTTAAAACAGAAAGTCTAACATATGGAAGGCTGTGCAGATTTGTGATTTTCCTACTGATAGGGACAAATATGTGGCTCATAAGATTTTTGCAGCATAAACAATGTGCAAGCAATCTGCCATGCCAAATATGATGAATAGATGTTATCTAATGGTTCACAGGTTGGCCCATCATCCAATGGCTTTATTATGAGTTGTTCATTTTACATTGTAAATGTTTATAGCCAGTTTTATGTTTTAATCTGTATATTGCACATGGTTTGCTAATTTGCAACTTAACATTTGTTTCAAAGCTGTTGCATAATAAGCAATGGTCACAAACAAATACATGACACTGAAAAATTATGAATATTGGACACTTACCGCCTCCATTCTTGTAGCAGAGATAAGGAAATCGCCAAACGTTTCCCAGACCAATGATCTCTCCAGCCACAGAAAGCACAAACTCCACTTTGTTGGTCCATTGACCTCTTTCTTGTAGCCCATCCTTCTCCTTCTCTGTTTTTTCCTTTATCTCTGGCACAATCACAGTCCCATTGGGCTCCACATCCCAATTACTTTTGTTTCCCATGGCTCTGGAAGGTTGGGAAAGAATGAGAGAAAGGAAGATCTCATGACACAAGATGCTGGCCTCATAGGATGCATGTTCAGCACCCTGAACATGTACCCAGGAGTGCTGAAAGTGACCAAGAAGAAAACCCATGAACCTGTTACTTGGAAACTGACAGGGATGGTACAAGGCACTTTGCTGTATGAAATAGACCAGCAAATGGTGTCTCCCTTCCCTTCAGTCAAGATTCCGGTCTCCATGCCTTCAAGCTATTTCAGTAACCCTCAACAGATCTTTAGGTTCTTGATCAAAAAATCCCACAAACCCCTCTCTTGGTGAGTAAAAATATAACACTATATTTTTAGTAAAATTATATAACACTAATTAGGTAACTGACAATTTGCTGGCTCTTTTATAGCAGCCAAAAAACAGTTGCTTAAGGTGTCAGATTCAGTCTGCTGAATTGGTCATGCAACTTTCCTTGACTTGGTCCCACCAGATATATTGGAATTCGATTCCCATAATCCCCCAGCCAGCATGGCTTTCTAGCTAGAGAATCTGAGAGTAGAAATTCTCTTTGAAAATTACTCTGAAGCTGTGGCTGGTACAGAACTTATTATGCAGATCAATACCTATTCTGAGGTTGCTGTATTGGTTGCCAGTAGGTTTCCAGGTCTGATTGAAAATGTTATTTATCGCATATAAGCATATAGTGTAGCAATGTCAGGAACAGCCTTGCCAAATGTGACTCTGCTCATCCAGTCCAAACATCTAGAGAAGGTCTCCAGAGGGCCCCATTCTCATGGGAGATAACGTGGGGTGTGAGCCAGATACCTTTTGCAACATTAGTCCTCTTTCTCTGGAATACAGTCCCCCCCTTGGATTTCACAAGACTATGAAGATGATCCTATTTCAATATGATTTTGATGGTGGGCAACCATAAATTATTTTATTGTACTCTACTGTGGTTATGTAACTTCTTGGCACTGCTGCTGTTTTGGTTTTATTTCTGAGTTGTGCAGGCTCTGACTAATGGGTAATATATATAAATATGAAAAGTAAAAAAAAAACTCTGAAGGGCAACAGGTTCTCAGAAGCCACTTCTTTGTATCTTCTTTCTTTCTTTTCTATTTCTCCTTTACTTTTTCTTTCTTTCTTGCACTTTTAGCTCTCTCTTTGATTTTTTTCTTTTTCTTTTTTTCTTCCTTACTCTATATTAGTTTGTATTAGTTTTTACTGTTGTCTTTAAAACTTTTAATAAAATTATATATTGAAGGACAACAGGTTCAAGAGGGTTATTCTAACATCTCCCAGGGTTCCACCTCCTTCCATTCTTTCTTTTCAGATCACTTGTTTTCCCTGTCCTCCAATTTCAGCTTTCCAGAACATATTCTCCTTCCTAATTTGCATCTTCCATTGATCAATGGAAACCTTTTTCCAGATAGCTGAGGTACTTCTCATGTAACACCAACTCTCTGTACTTTCTTTTCCATTTATCTTTTCATCAACAGACTTCCACTTGCTGCACTGAGGATCAGCGCTGTTGTGCCTCAGTCTACTCACCCTCTCCCCTTTGTCAAGAAATTCAGAGATCTTTCTTACAGACATGCCATCTGGCTAACCAGTTAAGCCAGTGTTGTCCAAACTTGGCCACTTTAAGATGAGTGGACTTCAACTCCCAGAACTCATCTTAAAGTGGCCAAGTTTGGACAACACTGAGCTAAGCTGAGTGCTTGTTCAGAGCAGACTCCTCCTCCAACTTATCAATTTCAGTGCTCAATGGGTTGGAAACCAAAGTTTTCTAAAAGCACCTCAGTCGAGCTGTCACTCCAAACTGTTACTACCAAATGCAAATCATCAGGCACAATGGCATTTTTCTCCATAATAAAATTATTGAAGTTAGCATCAGTTCATTGGCTTATTAGGGATGAAACAAAGTAAATCTATACAGCCAACCTGCTTTCATTACTCCTTGTTTTAAGAAGATGGTAACTTCTTAAAACTCTCATTAAGCTCATTAAACTCTCAAGTAACAACATCCAAAATCAAAAGTTCTGGAATGCTGAGTTCAAATATTAGGGCTATTCCTCATGGCCACATGAATGTGCTTTCATCTCATCTTTGAGTTGGGAGGAAAGAATATCAGCATAAATTGTGCGGCCCTCACAGCTACCTTTACATCTCAATAACAAGATCAGGCAGTGTTGCTATCATCACACAATTTAATGTGGGATAGTTTTAGAGCCGCAATTGGTGGGTTCCTCATCACCATCTCCCCTCCCACACAATGCACCAACCAAAGAGAAAACCAGCCACTAATCACACTCCTAAACTTGTGACAGGTTAGGACTGGGGGGCGGGGGCGGGAGCGTTCAACCTTTATTTGAGTTATTCATTCAGACTTATTTTTTATTATTTACTATGTGCTCCTTCTGACATGGTTTTTTGATTGGGCAAAGAACCTCTTCTCTCTCCCTTCCCCCATTCCACATTTGCATATGTGTGTCTGTATGTTGTATATTGTGCTTCTCCTACTTTATGATTTCCCTAACACTGCATGCACCGACAACAGACCAGATAGCCTAGCTGACCGTTTTATCAATCTTCTGGAAGTTCGCTATTCCCATGTAAAGAGAAAAAGACCAGGTACCCAGTATCTCTTGCAGCCAAAGACAAAATGTCATGGGGGCATAGTGCCCAGTGGATGGATGGGAGTGGTATTTCCATAGTAGACTTGCCAGGCCAATTGGAACTCAACAGATTGCTGTCGCTGACTGTATCTCCAGGTTCATCCCCAAGGCATCCTAGATTATCCACACGGGAAGTTTGGTGGTGCTATAAAGTGGCAGAGCTCAAGTCTGAACCCCCGCCCCCCAATGCTGGCACAGATTTCTTGGCCCTCCTTCAGAATCTGCAATCTGAGATGCAGAACCACAAATGCAAGGAGGCAGATTCTACTGGAAGAAATTCCTAACAGGGCTAACAATTTAACAGTGAAACCAGTCCTGCAGAGAAGTGATGGGCTTTTCTTCACTGGACATGCTCAACTAGAGGCCAGCCAGCCATCTTCTGGGAATACATTAGTTTGGCTTCCTGCAATGAGCAGGGTATTTGACTCAATGAGTTGGCCCCAACTCTATGATTCTATAGTGAAACAAGGACAATGGAAAGGAAATTATGCAGCCATAAGAATTAATGCTAAGTGGTCAGGGAGTACTCAATTCCTAATCAATGTTGCATGGTTTATAATTCCCCAAAACAGGAAAAGAGACCATCCACAAGCTCCAGCACTGCAAAAGAAAAGACCTTCTTTACTCCAATTTCAAATAAATTGGCCCAGAACCAGAAAAAGCTGACCAAGCTCTCAGAATGAGCCAACATCCAATATCCAAGACACGTCCAAAGCTGATTTCGAACTGGCACAAAGTCTTCATGTGGAAGGGCCCTAGTATAACAGTAGAGAAGAACTGGGTGGACAAACCCTGGGCAAAATGGAATCCATTTGGTAAAGCTAAGTATGAGTCAGATTCTTAAATCTCCCCAATACTGTATGGGAAAAAAAGAAAGTTTAGTGATCTCTAATTCAGCTATATTCTCTAACTATGAAATTGTTAAGAAGGCACATTTAAGCACACTATAACATAGAAGGAAACTTGCAGGACATTTTCAAGTCATATGTCTATTATAATTATTGTGTGAACATTAGGGAAGTGTGTGTGTGTGTGTGTGTGAGAGAGAGAGAGAGAGAGAGAGAGAGAGAGAGATTCACTAGCATCTCTGAAGTCTGTCCTTCCAGTGTTCCCCAACATGGCAACCAAGAGAGCACCAATATGCCAGAGGATACCTCCCTTATTGTGTGTCAAACCCTTTGCCCTATCATCTGACCTTTACATTTTTAAAAAAAACAATGGTCTAATTAAAACAAATGAAAAGCAAGATAAATCAACATCTTCCAACATCCAACCCTATCGGTTTGCTGAGAAAATTAAAATGAAGAGGGGCTATAGCCCAAGACCAATTGGGAAGAAAGCCGATCCAACAAAGGTGAGCACGGGCAGAAGAAAGGGTCCTGCAGGCTGGGGTGGCAAGAGAGGATGGTAGGTAGAAGATTTCATAACTGGAAATATCCCCCAACTTCCCTGTTTCCCAAATTACAGAAAAGAAACTACAGAAAATCTTGGCCTTATCCACATGCAACTCAAGATATAGCCTTATCTACTTTGCATTATTACCTATCCCTGTCTCAAGCTTCAAATGTTCCATTTTGGCCAATCAAAGAATCTAAAAGGACAGTTCTCTGAGACTCTCTCAGATCAGAAAATAGAGGTGGGACTGGGTATATTTGAAATGCTATCCCAAATATATATGTTTCTAGACATAGAAAGCAGACACATTCGGTTTTCTAGAAGGCTAGACTGGAATTCATTTCCACAATATGCATTTATGCCTCTATTGCGCTACACTGGGGGTTAGTAATATGGCTGCTTGGTGCCAGGACATCCATTCCTCCTCTAAATTCCTCGGACTGTTCATGCGTTAAGACTGGCCCTGCTCAATCTGCTCTTGAATTTTTATGTTTGTGATCAACCATATCAAGAATGTGTCGGTATGCTTTAAAAACTAGGTTGCTAGATAGCACAATTCTCTGGTTTTGCAAAGTTTGTCTGCAAAGCCTAGCTAGTAGGTTGGGTTTTGAAAAGGGCTTTTATGTAAACTCTTCTGATAATGCAGTAGCCTGGATGGGTTGGGACTGGCTAAGCTAAGTGGCCCGGGACAAGGTCACGGGCAAATACAGAGGAGGCTGCCTTTTGTCACAGCAAACCGCATGTTTGTAATAAACTTCGTGCCCAAACTTTCATAATTTAACTGATTCTAGGCTATGGTTTATTCAAAAGTAGGCAATTTCCTTAGCTGGGTCTATGGAAAAGCCAACTCTTTAAACAAGCTGTTGAAAATATACATATACATATCTAAATGCACCTCAATTTGCAAATAAAACAATGTGACAGAAGCTGACAAATATCA